TTTACTGATATTTATTCAGAACATGGTATCATTCACGAAGAAATGATGAATGCTATGTTGACAAGTTCTGGTTTAACTCAGAATTTGTGGGGGGAAAGTTTTGCTTTCCGCAAATTATGTTATCAATAAAATACCTCAAAAGAAACTAATGTGACATCATATGAATTATGGAAATGTCAAAAAAACCTTCCTATAAATTTTAGAAGTGTGGGGGTGTCTAACTAAGTTTGCAGTTCCTACTCCTAAGAAAGTTAAAGTGGAACCTATAATATGGCAACCTTATGGGTGGGTGTGCCGTGGGCGGATGCAAGAAGTACTGACATGCTATCACACTGAGCAAGTTACATGTGCACAATTCCACACCACCTACGTAAGGGAAAGGTAAAGTGATTTTATGTAGTGGTGTTATCTCCAATTGGTATGAGACCTTTTGAGATAAAACCCAAAAACAAAATTGTGCGGGCTCGATCCCAAAGCGGACAATATCATACTATGTGGTGGAGTGGATCGTTACACAAAACCTTTGATAGGTTATGCTCATAACATCAGTTCATATCATTTTCTTGTGGGCTAAAACATCTACATCTTTTGGTCCTAATTTTCTAGCATGTTTATTGGAGAATGAGGCACAACGCTTTGAGAAAGCAAAGTCTTCTCCTGAATATTATTATTTCTTAGATTAGTTATGTGAAATAATTAATCATATGGTATAATATTATTTATATAGTGCTTACTTTTAATTGAGATTATAATATTGAACTATGTAGTAGAATTACTTAATGTGCATAGTAATTTAATTTTACAATATAATTGATTTAATGTGTGATATTATTAATTTTGTATGAGTTCATGACTGGTTTGTGTATTTAATACAACAAACAAAAATTGACTAGTCTAGCTATGTCAATTCTCCTGATAGTCAAGGGAAAAAGATCTATACTAGTGTTTAAAGACACGTATAGCTGTGAATGGGCTGAATAAGATAAGATTTTCCAACAACTTTAAAGTGTTTAATGGAAAATGTTATGGATACAGTAAGCAAGTATACTGAGACAAGCTAAATCAAGCTAGTTAGCTATAATGTACAATTTAGCTGAAAGCTAAAGTGTTACTGAGTTGCAAACTAGTTAGATTAGCTATAAGTTAAAATGATTAATGAGGTGCACAGAACCTAAGAGGAAGATGAAAATCTATTAGTTGGTTCCTACTCTCTACTTGGTAGTAAAAAACAACAGGGTGATGAGTAGCCATTTTAGCAATAAGCTATTTGAGTTATACATCATATCTGCTCATGTAGGAGTGAATAATACTACTTGTAAAGAAGTAGTTTTTGAAGAATATTCTTCAAAACAAATTACTCTACTACCAAGGTAAACTACTTAGATAAGTGTGTACTAAAGTTAAGAGTTACTAGAATTGATAACTGAGCAAACTTAATTTCAAGCTAGTGGTAATAACAGAGAAGTGGGTGCTCATTATAAACTAGTAGTAATTAATGAGAAGAGTGTGCTTAATCTAAGCTAGTAATGAGAGCATAAAAGCTCACTTTTAACTAGAAATGATAGTTGAGAAGTGAGTACTCATTATGTGGTGATGTATCCAAAGCTTAAACAATAAGTGAGTTATTTGCTTAAATGATTGAGTTATGTGATGTGTGACACATGAAAGGTTATGACATATTAATATGACTGACTTAACATGAACCTAAACATGAATAACTCAATTCATAAATACAAGAGATGTAGAAGCAAATATTAATTAAAGCCCATTGTAATTAATATCTCTAGTATTAATTCACAATAATGTCTATAACATATTATAAGAACAAGCTAGAGATAAAGTGAATACATATGCACTAGAGACTGTTATGCATGCTTGTTGAGAAACGAATATAGAACCTTGGAAAGGTAGATGAGGTGAAATATTTAATATATGATATTTCAAGAGTTGGAAAACCATAAGAAATATATCATATATAAAATTTCAGGATTATCCCAAAGTTGTGGGAGGATATTGTCCATAGATGAAATTTGTTATAAGTTACCTCACCAGATAAGAAATATTTATAAATGTAGGGTTCTTAATCCTAAAAGATTTTGGATAAAATCAAAATTCATTTATAGTATTATAATAATAGTGCATATTGTTTCCTATGAGGAAAATATTATGGAACAACCAGAAGAGTTCTTTTTCCAGCAGAAGAGCTGAGTTATTTGTTCTAGTTGAAGAGTAAAGTGTGCAAGCTTATAAGTCCTTGACTGGATTAAAGCTGGTACCAAGACAATGACATAAATGTGATGTATAAGTCATTGTATGTCTTAAAAAATTAATGATATACTAATTAGTATATTTGATATGAAAGATTTAACATCTGATAACATAGTATATTCTCAATAGAGAGCTAACTTTTGTAGATGTAAATCTCAAATATAAATACTAGTCAAAGTATATCATTGGTTGAGATTACAAGGCATCTTAATAACTGTGTTTAATTACACATTTTCAATCCAGGATAGGATCACTGAAAAGCAATAAATTGGATAGTTGTGATACACCCCAAGTCAGGTATCTAACTAAATTGGAGGTATAACAGTGATACAATCTGGATGAGATATATTAAAGACTCCAAATCCAATAATAGATATGTCTTTAATATTAAAGGTGTAGTTGTATGTTCTTTTAAAGAATCAAAGTTAAAAACTTTAAATAAATCAAATAGAAAAGTTAAAAGACTTAACTTAGAGGACATTTCAAAATAAGTCTACACCTGTGCCAATAATAAGCAATTTTAGGGCACAAAGTATACATTTGCTCTCAAATGGGGAAATCTCTGCAGAGTATAATATTTTTATATACAACCATGTGGCCACATATAAAATTAAGGGTTGTACTAGAGAGCAATTGTACAGATCATCGAGGGGAATGGGATTTAAAGCCGAAAGTTAACGAGTCACCTTAATGGAAACCCAACCTAGTTGACTGGAGATCCCAAGATCTAGGTTCAAAGGGACAACATAAATTCTGAGTGACTCACCAAAACCACTGGGAAGATATAAATCTTCTGCCCATTTCTATGATGAGACAGTGCTACCTACAGCGAGGATTAGGATAAGCTTCGCTTTTAATGACTCTTACACCTTGAAAATTCAAGTGGGGTATGGTATGATACTCTTAATAAGAAGTCACCTATATGAGTGTGAAGTGGGGCCACTTCTATGAGAACTATAAAGGCTAAGTTTTCTGGAGCACTCATTGAATACCAGGAGTTGTTCAGGGCCAAAATGAACACAACAATGAGAACCAACTTTGTGAGGAAAGGTACTGTGTGTTTGTTATTGTCTTGATTTACACAAACGGCTGAACAGTTCAAGACATCGCGTTCACTGGTTAGCCAATAAATCTGATAGCAATACACTAGAGAAGGTTCAAAACCAAAAGCTACCTATCCTAATGCAGTAACTTTTCGACTATACTTTCTTTAGTGTCTGCACGATCATCTTTTACATTTTACGCAAATTTCCATTCATGTGGGGGATTGTTAAACGGGGGCGTTAAAAACATAAACTTTGGATGATGTTTGGAATAGATTTCGCTAATAATTTTTTGTAGATCTCTAGATGAGCGCGTTTTTCTCCGCAAGGAGATGAACGTGGTATATTTACTTTCTCAAATCCGTTTCCAGATGAATGAGAAATTAGCTCCAAAGTGTGGTATTTTGATAAGCCTAAATAGGTATGCAAAATGTGGGAAGTGTTTGTCCCACATGAAAAAAAATGTTGAAACTAATTGAAATTTAAATAAGCCAAATTTGGGCTTGGGCTTGGGCCTAATTGTAAAGTCTAATTATTCTTTTTACTAAATGGAATCTTAGATTGGGCCTTTAATTTTGGGCTGGGCTTATTTAAATGGGTGGTTAGTTTTTGAATTTAAATTAAAAGTTAGTTTTTTTTTCTAAAGGGTTGCATCTATTTCTAAAGGATTGCATCTGTTTTTCAAAGAGTTGCATCTGTTTCTAAAGGGTTGCAACTCAAAACCAATAGACAGAACTATTCATGTGAACCATTGCAACCTATTAGAATGGATGTGTCAATTGGTGAACAGACACCATGTGAACCATTGCAACCTATTTGAGTGGATGTGTCTATTGGTGAACAGACACCATGTGAACCATTGCAATTAATTGGAGTGGATGTGTCCAGTGTGAAGAGACACATATAAATGGTTGTGTCCAATGATGAAGAGACATACCCAATTCGAAAAGGCACCTTACTTAAAACTACTTTTTAGTTTTTTCCAAAGGGTTGCACCCAATCCGAAAAGGCACATTAATTAAACACTATTTTTTAGTTTTTTCCAAAGGGTTGCACCCAATCCGAAAAGGCACCTTGTTGCCTATAAATACCCCCCTTTGGATCATTTGCATATGATTCATTTTCATTTTCTTCTATCTCCCTCTCTAGACTTGAACCCAATCCAAGTGGGTTCAAACCATAGGTTAAGTGGTCCGAACCACTTAGACCCTAATCCAATTTCATCGAGCCATATTAAGATTGGTCCGAACCATTTGGTTCGGATTGCACTCAATTCAACATTTATTTATATAATATAGATGTATTTTTGAGTAGTGTTGCTACTGGTGGATGTAGACCGTTGTATCCTGTGAGATAGACGCCACTGAGTCCGTAAGCACCATAGCGGGACGAATCTGTCTTAAGGACATAGTATCCAATACTAACCTCGATCCAGGTTCTTTATTTATTTATTTATTATTATTTTATTACTTTATTTTGCATATTTAATTAAATATAGAGTTGCATATTTAATTAATAATTGCTTAGCATATTGTTAATTATCTCATGACATATTAGTATAAGATTTGTTATATCTTAAATGTCACATAAAGCATATATTTACCAACAATATCTTCCACACCATTTACCAACAATATCTTCCACACCATTTTAGCACTGACATCTGCAAAAGAGATGGTCAATTGATTCTCCTTCCTCTCCACAAACTGGAACCTTCAGCATCATTCACTGAAAGCTTATTATCTAGGCTAGTCAAAGCTAATCGACATACAATCTTAACAGAGAACAAACCATTCGAATTAGGACCCCCAAACAATCTGATCCTCCCCTGCAGATTCCCTCAAAGGCAACTTCAACATAATAAGCTCAACATCTCTGCAATTAGAAGTCTCCTTTTTACATACCCAAAAAAAAAAAAAAAAAAAAAAAAAGCCTTTTTCTTGAACTTATTTACTCCCTTCCTTTAATCTCATATTTATTATCAATTTTGATTTTTACAATCAATCATTTATTAATACCCTCTATATTATTTCTCATGGCCTATCATCTTACTTATTTATTCTTCACAAATAAAGCATTAAAGCTAAAAATTAGATGATAGCATTACCAAAATGAATGGTGAAAGTCACAGTGAGACCCACCTCGTACAACAAACAAGGTGCCACGATCACAATTCAACACTAATGGGTCACGACTGGACTTCCACTAGAACAAGAAGCTACATAATTGATCTCTCATTCTTAAATCAGGAAAATATTGGGTCTGATAGAAGCAAAATTTCAAACAAAAATTTTCAATCACTTCCGTCACGAATTGCATAAAACATGAACTACAGATAAAATCAAAATGGAGAAGAAATTAACAAAAGAAACCCTATATATATAAACTATAAAAAAACAAATACCATTCATCGAAAACCTCTAATGGAGCCACGGTTTGCCCAACTCGAAGAAGTACCAGTCCCACTTGAACCACCATTCTCTCCAATTCTTCTGGTTGCACTACCCTTCTTGCTCATATCCTTTGATTCCCTATGACGTCCCCAACCAAATCCACCATATTCAACCCATGAGTGACTTCCTCTGCTTTTTCCCACACCACCTGTTTGAATTCATCTTCAAGCTTCCTCGCCAATCTCCTCCCAACACCCACATCCTCGTCATCGTCTAGCCGTGAATTGCCTCCGCTCGAAAGATGAACACTGGGTCACACTCGAACCACCACTCCCTCTAGTTTTTGAACTACCCTTCTCCAACTTCTTGCTCTTTGAATGTTTCACTTCCTCAACCAAATTCACCTTTGATCTATCATTCGAAGCCGGACTTCCCTTGGTTTCCCCCAAACCAGTCTCCGCCGCCACCCGTTCAAATTCTCCCTCAAGCCTCCTGGCCAATCTCCGCCCAACACCCAACTCCTCATCATCGACTTTGTCAACCAAAGCCATGAATTGTCTCCGCTTCATGGAGATCGGAGCAGGAGGCGGGGACGAGCTCACGTCTTGATCGGATGAACACTTGATGGATGTGCTGGTCTGATCGGCAGAAGAGGAGGTTTGCTTTGTTTTCTTGAGGAATGTCTCGCGCTCGGTTTGGAGTTTTCTGATACGGCCCTCCATCCGCCCTTGGAGGGGATGGCGCTTGAAGCTGAGACCACCCATCGACCAGTAAGCTTCTTTTGCCCACGACGTCAACTGGTCAAGAACAGGGACTGGCGGTTCTTCAAATCGGTGTAGATTCGAGAACTAAGCCTGTTACAGTAGAATTTTCCGAGAACTAAGGCTACAACTGGTTTTTCGAGAACTAGGGCTACAACTTTTTTTTCGAGAACTTCGACGAAGAGTGAATTCTTGCCTTTGTCAAACGATTATACTATATATAGAATCTTTTATTCCTATATAATAAGGTCGGTGTTGTGGGGGTGTAGTGTGGGCGGGAAATTTGGCGCTATAAAGCACCGCGTAGTTTTGAAATCAATGCCGCGTAAAAAAGTTGCTCTTTTTTATTTTTATTTTTTTGTTCCCCAAGTTAAAATAAAATAAAATAAAAGGAGTTGCTTTTGGTAGCGTACAAGATACGATTGTCAATTGGGGCAGTTTCATTTACATTGGGCCATGGTCTCGAAAAAAAAAAAAAAAAAAATCATCGGTTTAGAAAGGTCCAATAAGTACACTCCATGTGTTTGTCTAATTTTTAAGGAGACCTTCTCATATTTGTGAAAATTTAGTCAGAATTTTTATTTTTTTTGACACACATCAGTCTCCTTCTTGATCAACGGTCAAAATTGGTCAGAGACACTTTTTGCCGACATAAAAAAAAAAAAAAAAAATTTAATACCCAAATTACCCTCCAATAATCATGTTTGGCTGCATACTATCTATCTAACCAAACACTTTCCTCAAAACTCTCTTTCTGTGCAAACCATTTCTCTCTCTAAACTCTCCATTTCTCTCTCTGCAAACCCATATCTCTCTGTAAACTTTGTCTCTTTGCAAACCCATTTCTCTTTCTAAACTCTCTCTCAGACCCTTATCGCCTCTCTCCGGGCAGCTCTCTCCGAAGCCAAGTCGCAATTGATTCGCGACTCTAATTACCACAGCCCAAGGCAAGTTCTTCTCCCCTCAAGGATTTTGATCGGCGGCGGATCGAAGACGTCGTAGATGAAGAATACAAGCAACAGATGTGCATATCTGTTATCATTATTATATTATTTTCTTTCCTTCTCTTTGAACTGGTGACTTAAAGCTTATGCTCTGTGTGCGTATTTGTGTGTGTGTCTGAAAAAATTGTCTTAACATCTCCACACATATTTGATGCATTCATTTTTTTTTTTTTTTTTTTTCCATGCACTTAGATTGAAAAAATTGTCTTAACATCTCAAGTTTGGTCTCGTTGAAGTGGTGTACGAATTGGCAAAGGTTTGATCTTTTCCCTATTAAGAGAGTACAAATCACAATTGTCACTTTTTCCTTGAATGTCTAATTTATGCTAATTACAATTGTACATTACTAGGGTGTAGTTTGTCATAGCGTGAAGGCATTTGCGTGCTTTTCCTTCTTTGATGTACAGTGAGGGATTTGGAGAAAGAAAAGAGAATTGTTTGTTGTATGAAAACAATTGCCTACTCAATTTCCAGGGAAAAAAACGATAATAATAAATCAATAGCAGTAGCAAATGCCTCACAATTTGTGTTTTAGTCAAAAAAATAAAAAGAAAAAAGAAAAAAGAAAGAAACACGCAATGGCTCAAGAGGGCTCAAATGTGTTCTTTAATGATGGATTGTCTCGGCCGTTACAACTCGACAGAGAAGATGAACCGCACCGGTGACGCAAGGATACGGTTGTGATAGAGGTGCTCGTCAACGATGAGCTTTTCAGCAAGCCAAACTCAGTTTTTTGTAACCCTAACTTTGCTATTGAGATACGAGGGATAAGAGAGATTGACTGTTTAGTTCAAGAGATAAAGCTAACCGAGAGTTATAAAACATGTTTGGTTTAAGAGATTGACTGTTTGGTCAAGTATATATTGGAAAATGACAAAAAAGGCAATTTAGTCATTTCATTCATTTATTTGTTTTTGTCAGCCGACAATGTCTGACAGGTGGTCTGACTGAATTTTTGCAAACGTGGAGAGGTCTCCTTGAAGATTGGACAAATCATAGAGGGTGTAACTGAAGTCAACCCTAAGTAAAGCTAATCCAATCCAATTCGATATTCAAAATTGGATTACATTGGATCAGATGAAGCCTTTCGACGGACTGAATTAAATTTAAGGATAAATTGCAATGACACCCCCTAGGTTTGTCAAAAAGACAGGTAGATACAATTTAAACTATTTTTTGACAATGACACCCCCAGATTTGCAAACTTGAACAATGATACCTCATCTTATAAAAAATTGCCAAACACAGCCTTAATTAACACGAAATGTCTAATATACCCTAAGATATATTTTAATTCTCTCATAAAATGACCAAACTACCTTCTCCTTATCATTCTCTTTTCAATCCTATTTCTGTCAAACACAGATTCTCGTCTCTCTCTTTCAACCCATTCATCTCAGTGGTGGAGACGAAGGTTGTGGGTGAAGATGTGGTGGTCGGGTGGTGGTGGCAAAAGTCGTGAGTGAAGATGCGGTAGTCAGAATAAATAAATAAATTATAAACATAATTTTTTTCATTGAAATTGTAATATTTCTTATTTTCGTCATTTTTTATTTTTTATTTTTAGATTTATTATTTAATTGGAGACTTACCCAATTGAAGATTTATGTTTTAGTTTATTGGATTTGGTTATTTTGCATTATATATATATATAGATATATGTATATATTGTAGCATCTGATGGAAGGAAAATAGCAGTAGGCTGCCGATGAAAGAAGGAAAAAGGAAAATGGAAATGATATTGTGGGTCCCACTTGAGAAAGAGATTTGGTTTTATTGCATCTTTATATTATATATATATATATATATATATATATATATATAATTTGCATCTGAAGGAAGGGAAGCTTCTGGACGAAATTGAAAGAAAAGATGGCATTGTGATTGTGGGCCCCACTTGAATTTAATTTGGTTTCTTTGCTGCATAATGTGTGCGTGTGTATATATATATATATATATATATATATATTTAGAAAATGAGATATTTATTTTCTTTTTCATGCGGGACCCATCATTAATTCAATTATGTAATGACCCAAGGGGTCATTACAAACCATCAGTTCTTCCATCTCTCTTGTCGCTTACGCAGAATATCTTTCTTTCCCTTTCGGCCTCCATTTTTTCTTTTTCTTTTTTATTTTCCTTTCATAAAAGCTTAGATTAAAGCCACACCATTGGGAATTTGATAGTGCTGTTTGCGGCAAAACGAAGAGCAAGGCGAGATCTTTAAATGAGTGTAAACAATTTCTTCTTTGGTGCATCCTAGGATTTTCGAAATTAGGACACCAAATTAGGGGTTTTCTCATTTTTGGAGGTAGGGGGTCTCTAATCCATAATATTCTTGTGCATTTATGAATTATCTTGTATAAATTGTTACCTAGCATGTTCAATTTGTATAAATTCTCACAAAAATTGCTTAAATATTGTGTATGGAATGTTTAATTATGTGTTGAATGATGTGTTGTGATCGAGCATGCTTGTAAGGACTAAAATTCATGTTTTATAGCTTACCATGCTAGATTATTGTTGAATGAAAGCATGTATATTTTTTATTTACTTGTAAAGCATGCTATATGGTTTAAGTTGAATTAATTATATGAAAATGAGTACTTACACGGTATGAAAAGGTGTGATACCCCTCGGATCCGAGACACGGGTTAATTAGGCCCAGGCCCAAACCCAAGGGAATATCAAACAATTAATATTTCAAAACGAACACAGAGTATTAAATGAAATAAGAAGCAGAATAAAGCTATCAAAAATATCCAATATCAAATCCTCCAAACTATCATGAATAAAGTGAATCCAAATCTCCAAAACCTCTAAGAGTACAACTCGGGAATCCATCTAGTGGACCCTTAAAAATCCCAACTGAACTAAAATAATTGAAAGTAAATTAAATTAAAACATTGAGAGAAGACCTACGTAATCTGATAAGTGGGAAACTGTCCTCGAACGGCACGATCAACCTTTAAGGCTGGAAACGTCTTGTACCTGAAAAGAATAAAATAGTAGGTCAGGCCTACGAACAAGTTCTAATCTAACTACAATCCATACAGTGACCCGATACACAGATACACCCTAGATACCTCACAATATCTATTTAGTCCATACATATATATATATCCACACTAAGGACATTCACTGGACTATAATAGGGGTCTCAACTTGAATAGAAGGCAACATGCGAAAACGCACCCAAATGTGGGTATGAGTACCTAGACCTGACAGGGTACACCTACCTACTATATCCAGCTACGCATCCACTGCATATACGCATCCTAACCAACGAGCCTGAGACTCAAGCTTATCTCGTGGTGACATAATCATATATCTAAAGTCCGCCCGAAACTAGAGTATGTCATTCAATTATTCATTGAGGTGACATACAAAACACAGTTCAGATAGTCAATCAACTTATTCAGCTAATATGACTTAACTACAACCAACTAATCGAGAAGTCATTCAACTTAGCCAGTTGATCTGACTTAAACACAAATAAGATTCAATATTTTATAATCCATTCCTTTAATCCGGTAGGTTAGGTCTTAGCGTTTTGAGCTAAACCATCCTTAGTATGCCACCGTCCCATACCGGTGCATACAATCCTCCATAACCATGTAAATTACAATATATAAATAATAGTTTAGTAATTTACAGTCCAAAACATTATCCAAATAATTGCAAAAAGATATTTAATATTCTAGCAATTAAAATCCAAACGATAATCCATATAATTGCAGAAAGGATTTAATGTTTCAACAATTAGCCTCCAAAGCATGCATGGATCAAATTCAATACATCAATGACCCTACAATGCATTTAGAACAAATTTTATAAACATATTAGATCCCACTGGATTGCCAAAATTAAGCTTAAGCAATTAAGTCTTCTTCTATCCATTAAACGTATACAATGTGCATAAATTTTATACGGTTTGTTTCGTTAATTTAGAGGTAAACTTTAATCAATTAAAGGTCCTATTAACACCCAAAATTAACTTCTTAATCACTCTGGAAAGTCCCAGAATTTTTCAAAACAGTTCAGACACTCAATAACTTCAAACAGTGCGTTAAAAACACATTCAGGAAGCAAATTTGAGAGAGAGCCTACTCCAAGTCTTGGGGAGTAGGCTCTTTTAAGCCTAGAGCCGGCTCCAAGGTCCTTGGAGCCTGCTCTACAAGTGTGGGAGTCGGCTCTCACCTCTTCTGAGCGCTTCCGGCCTCCTTCTGCTCCGTTTCAGCCCATCTGCTCCATCTTCGGCCACTCCAACCTTACTGTTCTTCCTCTAAATTGAACTTACAGATCTTAAATTATGTATAGTATTAAATCAGACCTTGGTTTGTTGTAGTAAGATTCAAAACAAAATTAAAACAGTGGGACGTTTTATGCCAAAACAGAGACGAAAAAAACATACATGCTAGAATTGTTTTGCAGATAAGTTTTCACAGATAAAAGACGATCAAGTAAACA